TTTATTTATCTCGTTCTTCATGTCATATTCTTTTAAGCGATCTCCTGGCGCCATCTGTTTTTCTGTGATTTAACCCGAGCTTTGAATCAAAAATCATAGATGACGCTGATCGCAGATTTTTCTTATTGGCTATTTTAGCGCCAATCAACGATTTGCACTAGCCTTAGAAATGGATAGAGAATAATGGCTGCCCAATACGATTAATTTGAAAGGAAAATCATCGAATTATTTAATTTCTGTGAACAATTTGTGAACTTTTATAATTGTGTCTTAAAGATGCACCTTTTAAGAACTTTCTAATATTATTTTAGATATAAATTTCTCGTTAATTAATTAATTATAAACAATTATTGTGCGGAGTGTTTGAACTGTTGCCGAAGATCCTAATAGTTTCTCATTAACAACTATCTTTTATGCAATTAATTTATGAATAACATTCATACATTATAAAGAGAATATCCGTAGCAATATTCCCGTATATTTTTTGTTCATATTTTACTTCTAATTTTGTTCATAATTAAATATTTTGACTGACAATCGTGCCGGATTGTTATAATCAAATCACGTACGCCTTCAATTAATTATTAACAACAATCTAACTAGCCTCGAATTATTACCGAAAATTGCATGAGAATGTTGTCCAAAGTTCCAACTTTGCGATGCAGCTATAAAAGTTCGTAAAATAATCGTAAAAACCTGATAATCTGTGATTTTTCACTGTGGTGTCGTTTCTATCTTTCTCTAACCTCTGCCTGTCCTTTTTTATCAAGTGGCGAGGTTTCAACGACTTCCTCACGCATTCTGTGTTCCTGTTACTTTCTTGAGCTTCTTGACCAAAATCATAGATGGCGCTGATTAATATCGCTTTGAATTCTTTTCTTGTTTATCTCATTGACGGTATTAGCACGGTACAACGGGTTGTGCTAGGGGCATATTGAGTTTATTTTTTGAATAGAGTAATCACACATTTCCACTTTTATTTATGTAATGTTATGTTACCGATGATAGAAAATAAATTTAACGTGCAAAAGCTGAAGAGGGATATATCGTTTTTGAAGGATTTATCTCTGATCTTTGTTATGATTATTAATAGGATAGAAAAAATATATATATTTTCTCTTCTATGTGTTTAATTTATATCTTTTATATCGTGAAATTTTATAGTTATGAATGTAACCTTTTTCAAGAACACAGCATACTACGCTGAAACAATTGCCAGGAATTCTAATAATTCTCCAAAAACTTTGAGCCTATAAATTTCGCAGCATTGGCATGGAACCTTCTGCCAATTTTGCGTTCTTGTATTAGGCGAACATAACATGAAAAGAGCGTGCACGCTGACATAATTTTTGGCCTACAAAATTTGTAGTGTTGGCATGAAACCTTCTGCCAATTCTGCGTTTTTGTATTAGGCGAACATAACATGAAAGGAGGTTGTTCGTTGACTGATTCCAAGAAATGACGTCATTTCCAAGAATTTCGTGGACAATACTTTTGCAACCTCGGCAGAAAACTTTGGCCAATTTCGCGACTTTGTATCAGGATAATATAACATGACAGGAGGTTGTTCGTCTATCAATTCCAAGAAATGACGTCATTTCCAAGAATTGATTTAACAATATTTTTGCGCTCTCGGCGAAAAACTTTTGGCCAATTTCAAGACTTTGTATCAGGATAACATAATATGATAGGAGGTCGTTCGCGGACTGATTCCAGGAAATGACGTCATTTCCAAGAATTCAGTGGATAATACTTTTGCGGCCTCAATGAAAAACTTTTGGCCAATTTCACGATTTTGTATCAAGATAATATAACATGGCAGAAGAGCTCGGAATGACAGGAGATTTTAATTATTTTACTTGTTCCAAGCTTAAAGATATATTTTTACAGCATACTTACCTTACAATACTTACCTTACTATACTTACCTTACGATACTTGCCTCGTTCACCTTAATGTACATATTACTTCAACAGATATTGCCCACTCTGTACTTTCAAAGTTCAAAGGGAACATTGAAAATTTACAAGAGATAGGAAATATTTTAAACTTTGTGCGTAGCTCTTAGCTTGGTATCATTTGCCAAAGATTTATCTTTGAAAAACGATACCAATTACCAGGTCTCACCACGAGGAGGTGGCTACGCATCGAGACCCGACATGCGCCCTAGTGGCGCAGCCTGCTGGCGCTATCTGTATCAAAAGCACCCTAATCTAACTTGGAGCGAAAGAAGTTAAAGTGACTCTACTGACACTTTATTAAATATCGTGTCTTACAAAGGGGACTTCGATTCGGTATACTAAAACACTACTATCGCAATAAAATAAGTTCCCATGAAAATAGGGAATGAAATATGAAAGACGCGAGTAAGTGAAAAATCGCGACGCGCCCGAACGTGTTCGCGACCATTCGAAAGACCGACTAGCCTACGCGACGTACTCTCGTGTACAAGACAACTTCGTGTCTCGGCACCCTCCCGATCGAACCTAGCCCACCCAGCCACCACAGACCCTGCCATGACTTACTCGCGAACGAGAGCGATCGACGAACCAACGAAACACCCGAAATCAAGCCGAGGGTCCCTAGCGAGGCCCTGTAACCGGTCACGCAGGCCCCTGCCACATGGGGGAGAAATTAATCATCCCATGGGGTCTGACCGTAGGCCCATATGCAATGTCACGGCTACAGGGCCCATACCCCGGTCGTGCACGCGCTGGTGCCCAGGACGACTAGGGCCGACAGACCCTCGAATTGACCCAGGTGAGTGTCAGTCCGCCGACCACCCTAGAACCGACGCGTGACAAGGGTGGCAGTGGCGAGGGTGAGTGTCGGAACGAATCGTTTGGATGACTTATGAAACATGGAGTTATCAAGTACACGAGAGTACGTCACGAAGGCTAGTCGGTGCTTAGGAACGATCGCGATTATCGCGAGAACAATTATGTTCTATTTGGTAAACGGCAGGGATAATAGAGGAAAAATATGAATTGCATACATTCGCTCCAAGTTAGGTAGCTTACCTCTGTACAGATAGCGCGCACATGATACTTAGTCTAGAGATCTATCTTATAACTGCTTACTACTACTTATGTCTAAACGCACGCATCCCTAAAAAAGAAAATATATAAACCTGAAAAGAAAATATATAAATCTGAAAAGAAAATATATAAATCTGAAAAGAAAGTATATAAATTTGAAATGAAACGTATTAGTAAGGGGAAAGACAATAGAAGCGAAACGAATATGAACCACAATGATAAATCAAATAGATGGAACAACCCAACGATGAGACATAAGAAACCCAACGATGAGATATTAACAACTCAACGAAGAGACATAAAGAAACCAGCGACGAAACATGTGAATATTATACGAAATATTCGAATAAAAATAAATAGAAACAGAAAATAAAACCTGGAAAGCGAAAAAATAATTAAAACCTGAAAAAAGAAAAAATAATTAAAAGCTGCAATAAAAGAATAATTAATATCTGAAAACAAAAAAAAAAAATGATTAGTAAATTGTTTAATGGGGTGGGGTGAGGCCGGGGTAGCCATCCCCAACCTCACTTCGTACCTCCACCCCTCGCGCACTACGAAATTTAGATGTTACACTTCCGAAGTCGACCGGACAAATGAGTTCTGCTGGGACGCGACGCTCCTTATATAGCCGCCGATCGGCCGAGTCCCCCCACCCCAATCGGAAATTTTCGAACTTCGTCGATTTTATTATTTATTATTTTTCCGCTATAATAGCCAATAATTTAATAATTTTTTCACTTTTACTATAAATATACGTTGCGTACAATTTGTTAATAACAAATTAATATTGTTATTAACAATAGGTGTAATAATTTACAAACTTGTTTGCAAATTATACACATATTTTAACACAAATACATTACAAGTTCAAGTTATAGCTAATAATTTATTAATTTTTGGCATTTTTATTATAAATTTACGTCGAGAACAATTTGTTCTTAACAATATTAATTTGTTATTAACAATAAGTGTAATAGTTTACGAACATTTTTGCAAATTATTCGTATATTTTAACACGAATACTTTTTATATTCGAGTAACAGCCAATAATTTATTAACTCTTTTACTTTTACTATAAATTCACGTTATGGACAATTATGTTATTAACAATATTAATTTGTTATTAACAATAAATGTGATAGTCTACGAACATTTTTGCAAATTATTCGTATATTTTAACACGAATACTTTTTATATTCGAGTAACAGCCAATAATTTATTAACTCTTTTACTTTTACTATAAATTCACGTAGTGGACAATCGTTATTAATAATACTAATTTATTACTATCGATAAATAGAACAATTTATAAACTTTTCACGAATTACAACTACGTTTATGCTGTTAGAATGTAACTGTACGCTTGAAAAATTAACTTTCGGTCTGCTTTTCGGCCGAATCCTCCACTCTGTATCTCCCTCCGTGTTCTCGCTACCGAAACGAGAAGACACCATCATCTTCGGTGATCTCGATTTCTTTCCAAGGTCGTAAAAATTCGCGCGAAGAAACGGAGATCGAGTGGTACCGATTTTAAATCCCAACCCGGAAGATACCAGCGCCGCGTCTACTTTCTAGCTCCATTGTTTGTCCGGAATTTACGGCGCACTTTCAGCCACGCAATAAGCGAGCGACTTGGAAGAAGAGGATCGCGAAAACACGAGGACGGAAGTTAATTCGGTAAATCGCGAAGTTGGTGGGTTGCGCGACCCGTAACTCGGCTGGAAAGTTAAGGACGCGCGAAAGCCATCCGGGAGACTGGCGCGAAATATCTATCGGCTGTCATAGCGACGCGACGGAGTTGGCAAGTTTTCGCGGAAATGCCAAGGCGGAATGCGAGGAGCGCGCGACGCTCGGGCGAGTTTCTTTACGGAGGAAGTTGTCGGCGAACGGCCACGAGCGCTAACCATAACCACGAGTGGAGAGTGCGGCGAATAAAGATGTTGGAAATGGCGTGTTTCAGGTCTCTGCAACCAGGACGCGATGCACATTACGGCAATCCTGGGGGAGAGCGTTGTCTTCAACTGTCACGTAGAGTTCCCCGGTGAGCAACCAGTGCCCTACGTTCTCCAATGGGACAAGAAGGTAGGCGACTTGGTACGATATCGGACGACACCCTCTGCTCTCTATATCCGTGAGTTAAATACGTGGGCGCCGCTCGATGCAGTAAGAGGAACCCGTGTTCCGGTATCAGCGATCGTATCGCCGTCTCTCGAGCTACGCTTCCGGTGGAAAAGTCGCGGAAAGCCGGACGCAACGCGCGCGGAGACCGAATACAGCGCGTCGAGGTATTTCAGGACGAATCGAGGATCGAAATCGCGGCGCGGTTCCGCGGCTTCCTTTTTAATTCGCTGGTCAAACGTTGCGTAATCGGGAACTGGGGCGTGAAAGCGGGTGGCGTGGGTGGCGACAGAGAGAGTCTCGCGTACGGATGAATGGTGCTCTCGTGTGAGCCACGCGATCGAATCTTCCTCTCACCCCCGACCGTCCACTCGTTGCTCTTTTTATCGCTTCCTCTGCCACCGACAGACGCGGTCATCGGCCGTTCCGCGCGTCCATGTATCTCTCTGCGAGCTGTCTCAATTTTCTCCACGCTCGCGGCCGCTCCAGATATACCATCCACGCGAGCTCTCTTTCCGTTCGTTCGTCGCCAGTCTATTCCGCGCGTTTTTCCGTCACCGTCCATCCATCGAATTCTCTCCGTTCCGCAACCGCGTTGCGCGCGCGGTCGAAGCTTCTATCGTACTCCTCGGACACGAGCTACGAGTCGCGTAGCTTACCGTTCGATTCGCGCCGGCAAGCGATAAGCCCGTGCGAAGGCGTCGAGGTGCAATCGTCGGTTCTGATTCTGAAATCCGCGTTGGCGATTTGTGGACGACGGTGGAGAGTCGGAACGAGCGCGAGCGATACCCGATCGTTAAAACGACGCGTTTCTCGGGAGGTTTTACGCGTTCGCGTGGGCGTGCTCGAAATCGCGAGAGATCGGCGCGGTCGGCAGACACAGACGCTGATACCGGAGACAGGAACGGCATAATGCAATGATTGTCTACGATACTACTTTGGATTCGCTTTCGTACTGTTTATTCGATTGTTCGTTCGCTTACGTGCTTCAGTTTGTTCCTTTGCATTTCGGTAATTCTCGTCTCGGTTGGAATCGGCGGCGAACGGGACACGCCTCTCGTTCCCAGCCGGACCGGAAGTGCCGTTGCCATCCCGCTCGCGTAGCCTCGACTGTCCAGCTACGCGCTTGTTTACGAGTACTGCGATTACTATTACGATTATGCCGATTGTCGTTATCATTATTCTCGTTATTATCGATATCATTTTCCTACACTCTGTTCCCGCGATATCGCGTTACTCGCTATCACGTATTCGTATCTGATCCGGACTGGAGAGGGCAGAGCACGTTTTCCGCGTCGATCAACGACAGAGTCATTCGATCACGCGTTCCTCTCTCGGGCAGTCACGCAGCCATGTACAGTCAGTCTTTCTCATCGACACGCATCCCACGCGCGGATCATCGCGACGCGATCGCGGCGTCGCGGACCCGTGAAAGGACGAGCGACGCTTATCGTGCCCTTTGTTCCAACGTGATCGTTCCAACGCCGCGTCGTCGGACTCGCGATTTCATTTCGCGCCGTCGGTTAATCAACGCGGATTCTAATTTCGCGCTGCCCCGACCACCCCTCGTGGATCCCGCGGATCGATGCAGCC